AGATGCTGCTTGTGTAATTTGTTGTAATTGTTTAAGTGATTTGGCAAGCCAAAGTGTGTCATCCATATATGCAAGTATAGAGGTAGATGATGATGTTTTCTTGTATTTTGTAGGGTTGAGTTGTGTAATCCACTCAACTGTTGAAGCGTATCCAGTATATAATTTGTTGATATGAGTAATTAAAGGGTCATAGTATATATGCCAGAAAAGAGGAGTTATTGTTTCTCCTTAGTCAATTCCATCTTGTATGTTGTAGAAAGGTGTTAGTCCATAGTTGTTAATAATCTAGTTTGTACAATTTTGCAGCAGGTTGGTAATAATTTGTACAAGTTGTGTAGACATGTTTAAGCGTTGCAAAGCTTTGCTAAGGAGGTTTATGTTGACAGAGTCGTAGGCTTTACTCATATTCTGTGATAGGATCTATATCTGTTTTTTAGTATATTTGGCATTTTCTATAAAGTTGTTAAGTATGTGTATCAGATTGTTAGTGGAATTGCCAGGAAGTGCAATGTAGTTATGAGAGTTAAAAATTAGGTATAAGGTGAAGACTTTAGTCAATCAGTTGGTAAGGATTTTAGTGTAAAGTTTTTTGATATGTTCTATGAGGCTAATAGGGCAGGTGTTGTTAAGATTGCCATTATATTTAAGACTGTTTATTCACTAAGAATATGAAAGTTAGACATCTTTTCATTTGGAATGATGCCTTATATAGTATTACTAATTATTATTGATTATTACATTATTCATATAATCACTATTTTAGACTTTTAATAATTTTGATTCTATTATTTAATCCTATATTACTAAATCCTGGGGTTATAACCACAACAATATTTATATTATATGGTCAATATAAATTTTTTTTTACTTGTAATGAGTTGAAGTTTGGTTAACTTGAAAATATAATTGCCAATTTTCACATATATTATAAACAATAGGTAAATTGCTTTGTCCACCACCTATTGTAATTCTTCTAAAAAATAGTTAACCTTAAAAATATTAATAAAGAACTGTAAAATCAATATTTCAAACAAGCAATACTAATGTAAAAACTTATTTGATTATGATTTTTCTGCTTTAAACTAGATGTAATAAAAAGTCATAAGGACAAATCTTTTTTTTTAAATTATTTATAAATTGTGCAATATAATATACAAAAATATATATATATGAACTAACATCTGTTCTATTATAAAGTTCTATTTGCTTAATTTTTTTATCATAAGTCTTTTAAGTAGATTGACAAAAATCAATCTTGTGCTTGTATTTCAAAAGACTTAATTATATCATTAGATAGATTCTTATTTCATATAATATAATAAAGATCTAAAAACTTTCTTTATAATTGTTCAATATCTTTTTCTTGCTGCCCTGCAATAAAAGAAGCTACTAGAAATTTTTCTAAAATTATTTTTTTTGCTGGTCTCATCAATGGTGTCCATTTAAACTTTGCTCCAGATGTTTCAGGATTATAAAATTGAAAAGTTACACTAATTAATTGCATTGTTAACTCAATACATTGTTGAATAGTTAGATTATTAGTACTATTAATAGAATTTGGTAAATAATTAAAATGTAGATTTTAATAAGCTTATAAAAAAACACTAATAATATATCAGCAATTCATAACATTAAGTGCAATTTGTCAGAAATAAAATTTTCTAATAGAATACAAGATAAAAGATTTGAATACTTGCATCCTATTATTAAATAAAGTTAAATAAAAAAAATTAAATAAAAAAATAAAGTTTAATTATTTATTTATATTAAATTATATCTTTGGTATTAACTGAGTTTGTCTAAGCTAAATTCATATCCCAACATACACTTCATTTACAGTTACAATAAAAACAAAAAAAGTTAGAAGTTGTAGCATTAATACCTATAACTAAAGCAGCAAACTTCCAGTCACTTGAGAACCAAAATTTTACAGGCCATATATTGTCATTTAGATCACAAAATCCATTTTGTAATAAATCTTTCAACTCTTTAATAAATAGTTCAAAACTTGTTGCAAGTAATTTATATTTTTCAGTTCCAATATAAAGACAAATACTAGAATTAGTTTGATATTAATATAGTATAATAGATAATATAAATATTTAATATATTATAAAATAAATCAATATACCTATATTGATTATCTGGATATAATACTGCTTCTTTTTTATTAAAAATGCACATAGTAAATAATATATGATTTTGTTGACATCCTACTTGACGACCATCATCTCCAAGCTTAATTTTAATTGTATTGTTGTAAACTAAAACTGGTGGTTCTGAAGTTATTAAATGAGGTATTAAAATACTTAGAATAAACTTGATTGTTCGATAAATACCATTTTCAATATCATTTAAAGTAAATAAATTGATTGAAACTTGTTATCCATAAACTTATTAATTTCTATTTGCCATTTGCTTATTAAATGTTCATGTTCTATTTTAGATATTATTGTAGCTAATTGTTATGAACTATCTCTTAAAACTAATACATCAACACAAGCATAAACATTAAAGTTAAGATATTCATTTGTAATAAAATTATTAGCTAATTAAGAATTAAACTTAATATATCATTCTTGTAGTGAAGATTAACTTTGTAAGTTGCCTTTTGTTTTTAAAATGAGGTAAACTCACACACTTTATTTCTAATGATGTAGCATTATGTTTTAAAAATAATGATTGTACATTATCTTTAATATCATTTGCAAGTAATCTAAATTGTTTATTTGTTTGTAATAAAGATAGTTTTTCTAAAAGTTTTTTTTAATATATGCTTGAAGAATTATATTGCTTTTTTAAACATTCCAAATCAAAAGCAAATAATCTTACTCCTGAAACACATTTATTAGATTTTTCTTATTTCTATAAAAAATTAAAATTATTTAAATATATATTGATCAATATATATTAAATATTATATATTAAAGGGGTGTGGTGATTTAGTAAAGTAGTCAAGTTATCACCTTCCAAGTAGCATATCCAGAGTTCAATTCCCACTAATGATGAAAAATCAGATTCTTTTATATAATAGTAACTATTCAGGTGTTGGGATGTAGATCCTGTAACAATAGTCAGATCAAATAGGTGCAAAGAGTAATAATTGGCTAACGGATGGCTTATCTCGCAAGCCCTATCAGAGCAGTAGTACAGACTTGGAAGATCATGGAACATTCATGTAATACAGGAGTTATACAAAGAAATACAAACCAATAAAAGTCAGTATAAATCTATGATAAATTCCTGTGATCTGTGTAAATCTGGTGGACTAATCCCGAATAAGAATCTGCTTGGCAAGTTCTGAGTAGAGAAGTAGCACATACTTTCGATGGTTTTAAAAAGTCTAAGAAGAGAACCAATAAGCTGTAAATCTGGACAAGGACTAGGTGTTTGATGAGCACTATATTAACCAGACCACCAGAATCAACCGGAGGAAAAAGACACAGGCTGATATCCAGGTTAAGCCAATAGAAAAGTGGATAACGTAACTTGTGAACCAAACCAGGCTATCTGAATTGGAAGTTTGGTGAAACAGGTGAAGGGTTCCTGATTGGATGAGTATCAGAGCTGGGGTATGAGTGAACTCTATAAGGGCAGAAGTAGATAACAGTAGTGATTTCAGCTCGCAAATACTTGTTTTTGGACTAGGTGTAAGTTAGCAAAGCCTAGGTCAGCCTAAATGTGGGTATAGAAGGCTCTAGCAGGTTTATCTCAAGGTCAAAGGACTCCCTAAAATGGTTGAGCCTGTTTAAAGCCCTAAGCCAGTATGTGAAAATAATGTGATACTAAGTATCATTGGTTGGATATAAAAGGTTTGATACATAGGCGCAGAGGGTTTAAATGGATACCCCTTAGTTGGGGTGCAGGTACAGCATCTAGTGTAGAACCTAGTAATAGGTAGATACTTAAATAGGTGCTCAAAAGGCGCAGATATGGCTAGTTGTACTCTACAAATATGTACAGCCATCAGAATGTGTCTGACGGTTAAAAATACTACTGATATTCGAATAAAAAACAACGTGGCAAAGAGGTCACCTTAACATTGAAAAAAAAAAAATACTGTATGTTAAAATATAATTAATATAACGATAATAATTACTTGTAAAAACTTGATGCTCACATCTGTTGCAGAGCTATAACTTGTAACACATTGTCATATTTTATTATCGTCAATCCAACTAATTGTATATTTTACTAAATCATCTTGATATTGAGTTGCATAAGTAATTTGAATTTTATATATAGTTAATAAAAATGAATAGTTATCTGGTATTTGATATACCATTCCATTAATTGAATTGTGTCGTGTTTTAATAACACTAAAGGATAAAAACCAAGTGAAAGAATCATATATATATAGTTGGTTTTTCGTTAACTTTCTATTCTTGTTATATGAATATACGGATAATTATCTTTAACCAATTTTTTGTTTTGGTTATTAGAACTATCAGTTGTTTGGGACAAATAATTTTGAGGTGTAAAAAATTTTCTAATATCGGTATTTGTATTAGTATCTGCAATATCCGCAGTATTTGCAGTATTTGCAGTATTATTCATTATGTGATTAAACAAAAGTGATAATTCAAAGTTGATTGAAACTTGATTCTGATTTAAAAAATTGATGTGCAATTCGGAAACATCACATTATAAAAATGCATCTGATTAGCCCATATGCACTAACCCCAAGCCCTAACTTAAGTGTCACGTTTTAAATAGAAAGTGATATGTAAATTGGTGCGAATAATCCCAGCCAATAGAAACTTGGGGGAAATTAGTACGTAAATGCATCATATGATAACGGTTTTTTGGATTACCATGTGATAACAGTTTTTATGCAACGGTTTTATATAAGGATTTTTAGAAATATTATTATAGATATAACAGTTTTTATTTAACAGTTTTCAGGGAAGTTATTATAGGTAATGGCCTTTATTTAACAGTTTTTAGGAATATTATTATCTAATAACGGTTTTTATATAACGATAACAGTTTTTGTAAATGCTATTATCAGATAGGTAATAGAAATCGTGTAATTAACTGTTTATTTATATTACGATTAAGTGGATGGTCGTTCGTAGATTATGACAGGCATTTCATATTAAAATTTATAATAGCTGGAATGGGAAGTGATTTCTCATTGTAAAATGTAAAGAAATAAAATAGTGAATATAAACAAATAGATTCAGAAACCTAGTTAAATAATGCACAAAACTTTATTTTGGGTGGGAACTAAAAACTGGATCAAACGATAATTGATAAGTATCAGTTTTATTTTTATTCTCTTTTTCAAACTATTTTATTCCAAATTATACGTTTATGTATTATACAAAATAATAAATAATCTTAAATAAAATTATATTTCATTTCTATTGTTTCTTTAACAATTTCGGGGTAAAAAATGTGAATAATTTTTTTCATAAACATGTATCGTCAGAAATAGTCAAATTTGATAATTTATCTGTTATTTCTTGCGTGTTGATGGGTTTGCTGATGTACATGTTATTTGGATGTTTAGGTGATTCAATGTAAAGTTTAATTTTATCTGCTTCCAAGTATTGTTTTTTGATTTCGTTATCATCATCTTGATTCATCTCATCAAGCCAATATCCAATTCTGGTAACAATTACAGTCGCCGTGGGTCGTTTATTCTGATCCTGATTCATGCATCTCTTGGCCAATTTAACGTAACAATCAGGTGTTTCATCAGCAAATCCTGGTCGTTCTCCTTTGCAAATTGTTAATGAAAGACGAAGATTAAAAGTTTCACCATCAAATGCTCTTCTTCCAGTTGATACCTCGGACATGATAACTCCAAAGGCGTAAATATCAGCCGCTTGCGTGTACGATTTACCCATCAAAACTTCGGGTGCCACGTATGGCAAAACACCATTAATTTCTCCATCCTGCTTCACATTAGATGATGTTAAAAGTCCTAGATCCGTAATGTAGCCACTATGTAAATGATTTTGCAAGATATTTCCAGAATGAAAATCTCGATGAATCAATTCTTGACAATGGATTGATTCAAGGTCTGAAGCAATGCAATACAACAGATTCAATTTATCTTTCCATTCCATTTGTGCTACCAAATGAAGATTTTGACGCAAAGAGCCTTTACTCGCATATTCCAAAACGATTATATAATCTTTAGAGATATCATCTCTTGATATTCCATAGCATTTTAAGAATGATGGATTTTCGTATCCGATCTCACAATATCTTTTTAACTACAGTATTATTAGATTAATAAATTTTTTAGAAATAAAAAAAATTTAATATTAAATCGTTGACAAGTTCTTGATTAATTAAATATTAACAAATTTTTAATTACATTAATATTACCTCACTGACAAATTCTTGATTGCATTTATTTGAATCATGAATCAATTTAAGTGCAATAGGCGTCCAAATATTTCTATTGTTATCGTGCCAATACGCATAATACACGGTCGCAAATCCACCTTTTCCTATTTCTTCTATATCTTGAAATTCGTTATAAGGAATCCATAATAGTTGATACTTCTCATCATCTAATATATTTTTCAAATTATCATCAATGTTTTCATATGATAATTTGTTTATTTTTGTTATACCACTTTCCATTCGATACCAATGATTTGCTCGTTGTATGTCTCTCGGTACACCAATTCCGTTTCGATAACAGTCACCAACTTGTGAAAGCGCATTAATATGACCCATTTCCGCTGATTTCTTGAAATATTCAAATGCTTTCTTTTCATCCTTTTCAACACCTCCTCTTCCATCCAAATAACAAAGACCAAGTTCGTTTATTGCTGCAACATGACCCATATCAGCAGTTTTTTGATAATAAATGAATGCTTTGTGTTTATCCTTTTCAACTCCGATTCCATCTTCATAACAACATCCAACGTTAAACATTCCTTTAACGTGCCCAATCTCTGCAGATTTTTGATAATAAAAGAATGCCTTATATTCATCCTTTTCAACTCCAATTCCATTTTGATAACAATATCCAACATTGAATGTTCCACTAGCGTTACCCATCTCTGCAGATCTTTGATAATAAATGAATGCCTTATGTTCATCCTTTTCAACTCCAATTCCTTCATCATAAAAATATCCAACATTATATGTTCCATCAGCGTCCCCCATCTCTGCAGATTTTTGATAATAAATAAATGCTTTATGTTTATCCTTTTCAACTCCGATTCCATTAGAATAACAATATCCAACATCGAAAGTTGCAGTTGCAGATCCCATGTCTGAAGATTTTTTATAGTATTTAAAAGCTTTATGCTCGTCTTTCTCGACTCCAATGCCATTTCGATATTTTCGCCCAAGTTCACGGAGTTCAGCGGGTGTTAGACTCATGTTCAACGACAAATATGTAGTATCAAATAAGTTTTTTCGTTGTTATTTATAGCATACATTTACGACTATCTTACAAAAATAGTCTAACTTTATACCAGGAACGGAGTGATATTGAAAATTTCACGGAGTGTATGGTTATATCGCAAATGTGATGTTCGTACGCAAAATCTTGCATATGATTGGATAATGCATGAGGCGAAGCAAGGATGTGACTGTATATCAAAAACATCACATGTTATATTTTCACATCTGTTGTAACGTATTTGTGTGTTACATCCTATATAACTTGAAATGTATATAACCTGATTCTATGATGTTATTTTTCTCAGCTATGTTATGATTAGTTGAAGATTAAAAATGCTGCATAGAATAACGCCATATTTTCATATTACGTGTCATGCGCTCTTGTGATCGTGCTGATGTTAATCAACGTATCCTAAGCTATGCTATCTTTAATTGAAATGTGGTTATTGTTGCACTTGGTTATTTTAAGAGATGTTCTACAAATAAAATAATGATAGTTGAGATTCGGTAGACTTTTCTTTTCTTGGTGGAATAATATGCTGTACATATCGGCTGATTTGATTTTTTGGGCCTTTTTTCGATAAACTGTTACACGAAAAATTTGCTTCTATGTGATGTTGAAAAAGTAACAAACGAAGTACTTATTACAACTAACAAAATAGCTTTTAACGTCTAAACTAGTTAAAAACCAATAAAAACTAATAAAAGAGCTATACTAAGCCGTAGAAAGAAGTACTTTTATCTTTTGTTGAAATATTCGGATGTTTGAGGATGGGTTGGGCATTGTTTGATGGGTTGGTAACTAACAAGTGTAAATTCGGAAGCTAATTTTCAAAAAACCGGTCTTTTTAACTTACTTTTAGCTTATAACTAAATACATGAATTTCGTAAATTTCTACATACTTAATTATAAATGCAAGACTAGTTAAAAGACCGTTTTTGTGAAAATTCACTTTACAATAAATTTTCATGTAAAATTTTTTGATAATCCTTGATCATGATTGGCTGATTTTGGGGTCAAAACAAATCAGCTGATATGATGTTTGCATGATTTAATCTAAACTTATCATGTATTGATGAATTTAGTTATCATACCATAAAGCGTTCTTGATGTTAGAACAATTTTGCCCACATTTGTGATTGTCTTAAAAGATTATTTTAATTGATGATTCTAACTCATTTGTATTTTCTTATTCCGATTAGAAGAAAGCATTGTAGATCTTAATTGCCTTCTATGTATAGGAGTCGCTTAAAGCCAGGTACATCACGAGATTTCCTGATGATCATTGATTATCGGGTAAATGTGGATATACGATTTTCAATTTTTTAGTAATATATAAATCTAGCATTAGATAAGACAATTTTTTTTCTCTTGAATAAATGATTTTGGTAATAGTTATTTTTTTAAAAAAATGATTTTTTTTTCTTAACTGTTGATTGCATATTTTACTTCTATGAATGATGGGCAAAATTATTTAAACCAAAGGTGTACACTTCTTTTCAATGTTAGCAAACCGTTTGAGGCCTAATGCAGGATTTGATAATGAATGGTGGTCTCTTGTCACAAATATTTGGATGAGGTATAATTCCAGAAATCATAACATTAGCAATTTATTGATAATTTACGCATGCCATTTACCAAACACAATCCATCAAGACTCATAAAGAAGAAGTACCAAATGAAAAACTTGAAAGTCAAAAGTCCATCCAGTGAGTTTATGTTATGCAAAAATCAAGGTTTTTATTTTATTATAAAGCAAAAAGTGCTTATTAGGCAATATCATAATAGTTGTAACTATGAAAAATAAACTGTTCTCAACTGTTTGATAAGTAAAAATAAGATGTTGATATAATTGCATTAAAGAGTTTCAACTTAAAGTCATATGAAGATGTAATTGGGTGAATTCTTTTTAATAGATTATATAAGAATGAAGATTTTAGCAACCTAATTAGATAGTATACTATAAGTACATAAATATGATATATATACATAGACCATTATATAATATAAAGCTTAAACTATTAACTACAATAAATTTAATAGATATGTTAAACAAAATATGATAAATATTTAATATATTATGATACTGTTTACTATATATTTTTTATTTTTATTCAATTTTATATATTTATAAGCTACAGATTATACAATAATGTATGGTCTTAAGTATATAGAATAA